GCCCGTGTCACCCCCCGCGACCCCACCGCAGCCCCGGCGCAGCAGCCCGAGCGGGAGGTGGCGCCGGGCTCTGCCCGCTCCCGCCCCGGCCGCCGCTTTGCCCAGCGCCGCCGCCATCTCTCTCGGCCTAAGCTAGGTCCGCCCCCGCCCCGCCGCGCCCCCACCCATCGGCCAATCAGCCGGCAAGACCCCGCCAGCTGGAGTGGGGGAAGGTCACGTGCCCGCGCCGCCCAGCACAAAGCGCAGCCAGCGGAAGGGCGGGCAGTGCTCAGCCAGACACTGACCCGCTTTAAACAGCGAAGCGCCGAGCGTGGCCACGGCACAGTGCTGCCTGGCAGAGAGCTCGTGTGAACTACTAAACCGGGACGTAGGTCACAGCGTGGGCAGCCCCTTCACAGCGTGTAACTTGCTGTGCTCAGAGGGTGTTTTTCTACATCCCCTGCGACAAAGTAACAGGCCAGTAACTTGCTGATGTTGACAAGTTCTCAAACTTCCTGCAGCTGTTTGTGTGCAAGCTGCTGCTGGCAGCTGCCAGGTCACTATTCAAAAGGGAACCAGTGAAGGCCTAATGTCCCTGTCAGCTGCCAGGCTAAGTGGCCACACAGCTGACTAATTAGCACTCCCCAGCCCCAAACTAGCCTGCCCAACAACCAGCTGAGTCACAGGACTCCAGCCTGGACCCAGCCACAGGCAGTCTGGTCCTTATCTAGCCTCATACCTGTACCCCATTCATCCCCACCAATCTTGCCCCAGATCCCATCCAGTCTTGGGCTCAGAAACCCCCTGAGTATTCCCACACACCTAAGTGCTGCTGCAAGGAGAAAAAGAGCTGGGCACTGTAGGGAGTCCACAATTTGCTCTAAAGCATTTTCCTTGACCCCAATCCAGCCCCACAGCCTGTATCCTCAGCTGGAGCCTTTACAAGCCAGCACCCCAACCTTCTGTTCCAGCCCTGAGTTTTTCATCTCTGGTGCTACCCCAGAGCCTTTGTACCCCAACTCTGTTCCACCCTTAAGTGCCTCAGTCACAGCCCCACTATGGAGCCTCCCCTAGTCTTGCACCTCGTAGGCCTGCGCCTCCTCCCATTCTATGAACCCCTGACCCCACATTATATTTTTATGTGCAGTAATGTGAAAGCGATACATCACACCTCACCATATTAGTGCAGTATAAAATTCATTCTGCTCAGGGGTGTGAAAAATGAGAGGGAACACTGGTGAGGGCTAGAATTGAGCTAGAAGGGCAAGGACTGCAGCTTGAGAAAAACGATAAGTGGTGGATTAAGTGGAATTTAAGTTAACAGTAATAAGTTTACTAAAAATATGAAATTACAATTGAGTAACATTAAAACAAACCCAAACAAGAGCGCTACCCCCAATGGAGACAAGTCTGTTTTAAAGTATGTCTTAGCAATATAGATAAATTCACAAGACCTGAAAGATTTTTAAAAGATTACATTTACAAAAGAGTAAAAAACAGTTAGTTATGCCATGAAGGGGAATACAGTGGAATAACTTTAAAACCTCTATTAGGTTTATCAGTTTGGTTAAAAAGGGACTTTGGTGTACTGTGACCTAACAGTAATAATAATATTATTTAATTCCTTTTTTACAGTAAACAATGGTTCTGGACCAGTTACATGTGCAATGAGATGTTGATAAGGGCACAAACATGACAAGGATTAGTCCTTACTCTTCACGTATCTAAGAGGAGCTCCACCTGACCAGCAGTGGCAGCAAACTCCTTCAGTTCTCTCTGAAAGAATGGCTGCTTCTCCAGGAAACTGTTTCGGTCATTCTCTGCCTGTTTCCACATAGCTGTTGCTGTCTATATTGAAAGAAACAATTAGTGCCATTGTTTTCAAACTTCTCATGACAGAATTGAAGAAAACTGTTGTTGCTTGCAGCCCAACAATTTGACTCGAGTATGGGCTTTGGGGAGGGGCTGAGGATGAGCGCTTGGTGGTAGCAGGGGCTTACCTTGAGCTGATCCCAGTCAGCAATGCAGCAGGGATGGGAAAGCAGGCTGCCTGCCTCTCTTGGCACTGCATACCACACTTCTCAGAAGCAGCCAGCAGAAGGTTCCCAGTCAATAGGAGTGCAGACCTAGTGCTTGGGGCATGGAGCCTTGTGTGTTCTCCTTCCCCACTTAGGAGCCGGGCCTGCTATCAGCTGCTTCTAGTGCTCAGTGCAATCTGAGGTGCCAAGACAGGCACATACCCTACCTTAGCATCCCCACTAGTCACCTGATCCCCCTATAGCAACGAGACCCAGTGGACTGTAAGGCACAACCCAGTACTGGGTTGCAACCCATAGTTTGCTGGCATAGTATAGGTTTTCACCCTGAAGAGCTACTTGTGCAGCAGTGATATAGGGGTTGCTGAAATTTGCCTAGGATGCTACCTGTCAGCTATATGAGCATTATTGTAACATCTGAGCATCTTATAATCTAATTTATTCTCAATACCCCCATGAGAAAGGCAAGTACTTTTCTCCTTACTACATAGATTGGAAAGTGAGGTACAGACCAGATGTCATACCCAACAACTGTGATACAGAAGACAGTTGGACCCAAGTCTGTGTTCCAGGCTAGTTCTCCAATTACTAAGCCATTCTTCCTCTCATGAAGTCTAAATAATCATCTGTTGTTAATAGGGCCATGAGATCTTTAGCGACACTAAGTGCCAAGAACTTTTCAGCAGACACAGATTTGCATTTCCAGAACACTGCTGCCCCCTCCATTCTGGGGCATTGGTTCATCACTATGTACAGAATCATTAGCTTCCCAATGCACTCTTCATTTTCTCCTGGAGGCCTTTCATTTGAGTTCTGCACTACACTTAATCCTGATTATCTTTGATTATATTGGATCTTCCAAGTTTAGTTGGCGATTAATTTCAGTGACATGACAGATTTTAGCTGTAATCCCTTCCCATCTCTTTGGAAACTTAATACCACCCAGAATCCTTACTACATGAATATTTACATCTGAAGACAGGAGGCAGAATGAAAAGCCTGCTAGAGTACATTAGGCTGTGTGAAGAGAACTGAGGACAAAAATAACTCCAGCTAACTCTGGGTATTCAATTGCTTGTTTGGGATGAAGCAAGGGATAGTCTTACCTGAAGCTCTTCCTTCTGTTTTGCAGCCATTTCGCTGAATAGTCTTAGTTCTTCTTTAAGCTTCTCTGTCAGCAACTGAAGAAAATCCCAAAGCAACTAGTTTATCCAGGTTCTGCACCACACCGCAATTGCCTTCATCATAAATTCAAACTTCTAGAAACAAAGTCTGTTTAACCCCATTCCCCTCTGACAAGTTCTCACCGTTGTTTGCTTCTGAGTCTCCTTCATGTGTTCTTCCTCCAAGATTTCATTACCTGTAACTAGTTTATAAAATATTTCCATAAGCGTCTTTATTTTTCATTACTGTTAGGCCTCACCTTCACCTGCACCAAATCAAGTATGCTAGGAAGCTCCAAATCTGGCTCTTCTGCAGTAAGCAGAGATCCAGATGGAACAACTTCTCTTTCAGCCCAGAATAATTAGTGCTATGCTAGCATCTCTGCTACAATGAAGTCAAGAACAACCATCACATTCACATGAGTTCCATGGTTACCACATAAAGTCACACCTTAAGAATGAGGGTACCAATCAGCATGAGTGAAAGGCTTATACTTAGGACTGAAATAGTTAGCCCTTACCTGGATCAATATTTCTGCTTTCTAAAATCATCATGTAGTTGTTTTGAAATTTCTTTAGCTTTTGAACTTCTTCTTCCAGAACTTCATTCTTTTTTCTCAAGTCTTTTATAGTGCCCTATCATTAAGACACAAGTTAAAAATTAATAGAACCCCTAAAAAGATTCTTCCTACTCCTTCCCCTTCTTCCCAATTAGCACCCATACCTGCTCACAATGCACTGGAGGTAAGTTTATAGATGCTAATTTAATCCACTTTTTAATGTGGACAGATTTGGAGCTGCCTGTAATAAAAATTACTACTATCCCTTGACTCAGTTACTGTATACATACGTTGTGTTAGTTCCTAATTATGCTACTGAAATGCATGTCAAGGTTGGGAGGTGAAGAAAGGCCTCCCTCTTGGCAGGGGCAGCACATGAGGGGAAGACAAAAGGATTCACATGCCCTAAATCCCATGGGCAGAGGGGGCTGGCCAGCTACTGGGGGAACAAGTGACGGGGGGAAGCCTGGCACCCGCAGCAGGAGTCAGCACTGCTCTCCCTCCTGCAGTGGGAAGCGGAGTGATGTGGCCGAGAGAAGTAGACTAAACTGTGGCTGTGTTGCTTGGCTTGCCCCGCTGCAGCTGGTGAGTGCAGGGAAGGACATCCCCACAATGCTGAAACTACCACCCCGGATCACCTCAGTTGTGTGTAACCATGACAGTTAACCGACGAGCCCAGGCTCATCAGTTAATCGTGCAGATGTTCACATCCTTAAGGTATACTGTCATGTTTTACAGCAAAGGATTCCTAGTATAGACACAGCTTATATCAGTAAAACCAAACTTTTGCTATTATAGCTTACTCAAGAACCGGCCTCTGTCCCCCAGAAAAATAAGTTATACCAGTAAAAGCCCACTTTTGCCAATACAACTGCATCTACACTAGAGATTTTTGCTTGCATAGCTCTTCAGAACATTGACTGACATAGCTTTGATGACCAACTTGGATGACCAACTTGTAGTCAAGGAAGTCAGAATGGTAAGGGGCAGGACAAGAGGAAGAGACTGAAGCAGAAACTGTGGAGCACAGACAACGGATTGCTCCCAAGTAGATTAGGGAGCTTAGGGCAAGATGGTCTACTTAAAAACAAAAAAAGTCTGTCAACCTAAATGTTTAACAATCAAAATGTATTAACATGTTTTATCATTTCTGGGGGAATTATGCACTAAAGACATTAAATTGCATTTATCTGGCTAATTGTATAGTTGATACAAATTGTGTAGTTGATACAAATTGCCAGCCCAGATGTTTCGGCGGGCGCCATGGCGCCCACGGGCACCGCATTGGGGACCGCTGGCCTAGTGGATCAGCACAGTCTACTGACCACTGTTACTGAACTTTGTTTAACAATAAACCTGGCCAGGCACCTTCGCTTTGTCATCTTTGGGGGCTGTCTTAAAGACTGCTTTGTTAACTAAATGTGCAAATCTACATTGCATACATCTCTGAGTACACATACAAGCAGCCTTCTGGTTCTCATAATTGATAGAGCCAGAGACCTGTCAGGAACTCATTGGGAGGACCCCGCCCGACTACCACCACCCATCACATCGGGGCTTTAGAGCCAGCTCCCCACTGCTTCCTCCCAGTAGTGGGAACTGGAACTCATGCTCCAGACATGCAGTGGGCGTCAAGGCTCAAACTCACTGCGGGGCTAAAGTGCCAGCTCACCTCGCTGCATGGGGAGAGCTACAGGCCAGTTCAAGGCAAGTCAGGGGTGCCAGATTCCCCATCCCTGACCTAAAAGCTAGGAAGACCAAGAGGGGAAGAGGGATGCAGCTAGCCCTGGATCTTGACAAACTCATTATCTTCTCTTCCACCTATCATACCTTAAAGCTGTGACTGAAGCCCGCTAGTAATAAGTTAATTAGGAGTGTATGGGAACAAAACAGATCTGATTTGGACTTCATGTGCTACAGCGCTATTCCCCACACTGCTCATTAAAAGATTACCTGGTGTTACTTTTAACAAGATGATCAGTTAAGAACTGCTTTTACCTGTGCGCCTGACAGCTTTGACTGCAGTTGCTGTTTGGCTATTTCCAATGACTGGTTTTTCTTCTTTAGCTCAGTCTCCAATCTGTACCGGCTCACTGGTCTGTAGACACACATACATCACTGAGGATTTATTAAATACTAGTTTATGGCTAGTATTTATATAAGGATATGATTAAAACATGAAAAGGAAGGTGTGTGTTAGGTTTTTTCCCCCTGAAAGAATGTCCACGTCTGCCCTGTTCAGCCAGGAAGTGTCAGATAACATTCAGTGCACCTCTTGAAAGATGGAGTGTGCATTGAACTGTGTTTTCGGCTCCACATATTCAAAGTTTACCATTGGCCATCAACACATGAACAAGATCATGCTGTAAGTTATCATGCAAGGATGAGGCACACCAGAACAGTTAACAGTAATATTGGAGAGAGGTTTTTTGGTACCAGCTTACCCTCGTGCAACCGTTGCTGTCTTTTTAGAAAGGAGCTCTGCTTTCTTGGTAGATCTACAGAGACTGAAACCACAGAAAGAATCATTATTGTCAATTATGTAGCATTTTGCCAAACCAACCATCAACTTAACAAAAGTCTGATTTTCTATGCATATTTTTGCTATGACTAGGTTTTTAGTAATCTAAAAATGTCTGAAAGATGCACTAAAGTTTGTCTGTGCATGTAGCTTCCAGTTACCTTTGGTTTTTAGCTTTGAATACACCATCTTCTGGAACATTTGAGCTAAAAGTGAAATTGGGATCTTTGCTGAATTCTGGCTCTACTGTTTTGTTGATATGTTGTTTCTTTGATGGAAATGAAGTCTGTGCATCTGCAAAAAGATGAACCACCACAGAGCAATGTGAGGAATTAACAAGAGCAAGCAGTTCTCCAGCTTGTGCATGAAAAAAAAAAAATCTTGAACTTAGGCAGAATTAGGGACATGAACATGTACCCATATACACCGTTAACCAATGAGGCTGGGCTCATTAGTTAACCATCACAGTTACGTGCAGCCCCCCCCCATCAGAGGCAGCTTCATTGGAGGGGGGAGGGGGAGAAAGAGAGGGAGGAAAAGGAAATAGGAGGGATTCCCTGCAAGCATCAGCTACCACCTCCCCCTTCCTGGCATGTAAATGTGTAACTGCTCAGTAGTTACACATTTACAAAAACAAACACATTTTATCATCTGTAGGTAGAATCACTTGCACATTAACATTTCCTTCTAACAAGATGCAAATAGCAATAACAAAAAAGCATCCTAACCCCTCCCCCCCATTCCTATAATCTCCAAAGGGGATACAGGCTCACGTTGAATATTTTATGATCTTTAACTTTTGGAGGGGCTATGGTAAACAATTTCAGAATGTAATTCACCATTCCAGCACGGAGTGGGAGGGCTCCATTTCACAGACTATCATTTCAACATCAGGCAGGTACAGGAACACTGCTTTGATAGCCAATGCGGCGCCATATTGAGCAAAGAACAGAACGATTTAAAACTTTTAGGCTGTCTCTAGACTGGTCAGTTTTTCCCAGAAAATCAGCCGCTTTGCCGGAAAAACTTGCCAGCTGTCTACACTGGCCGCTTGAATTTCCACAAAAGCACTGACTTCCTACTGTAAGAAATCAGTGCTTCTTGCGGAAATACTATGCTGTTCCCGTTCAGGCACAAGTCCCTGTTGCGCAAAGCTTTTGCGCAAAAGGGCCAGTGTAGACAGCTCAGATTTGTTTTCCACAAAAAAGCCCCGATCGCAAAAATGGTGATCTGGGCTTTTTTGTGGAAAAGCATCCGTGCTAATCTAGACGCTCTGTTCCAAAAATGCTTTTAACGGAAAACTTTTCCGTTAAAAGCATTTCCAGAAAATCATGCCAGTCTAGACGCAGCCTTCGAGTAGGAGAAACATCTCGTGTGATTAAATCACATCCAGAGTGGGCCCATTCACCCTAAGAACGGGAAGGGGTGATCTGGGCTTTTTTGTGGAAAAGCATCCGTGCTAATCTAGACGCTCTGTTCCAAAAATGCTTTTAACGGAAAACTTTTCCGTTAAAAGCATTTCCAGAAAATCATGCCAGTCTAGACGCAGCCTTCGAGTAGGAGAAACATCTCGTGTGATTAAATCACATCCAGAGTGGGCCCATTCACCCTAAGAACGGGAAGGGCCGTATTCCCGCCTGCCGCTCACTCAGCACTAGAGACACTGACTGTCTGGCGG